GCTTTGGTGTATGTGGCTGGTGCCCTATTCACTGAGTAATGGATGCTGAGCCATTACCTACCAGTTTTCAAATGGAATGCATAGAACTAATCAACTTAAAGAAAAATTCGATCATGTCTCTATTGGACTTTTATAGGTCTTATCTTCCTGGAGACAAATATCTCTCACTTTATAATCATGCCTTATTCATAATCATTACTTTTTGGCAGCACCTACATTTGCAAGAAACTATTTTCAAGAATGGACATTTAAAATAAACTTATAACCAAAATGTCTGATGAGCACCTTGAGCTTTCATTGAGAAATCCAGCTACTACTTCCATCTAACCAGATATTGATCCATTCATTTCTCAAATACAGTGTCAAATATCCTACTATTTTTTTTGTAGCCCACTTTTTCTAATTAAAAAATCAAAAAATATGTTTTATTACTTAGATATGTATATTTTCTACATTAGTGATCACAAACTTGGGACCTGCTTGATGATTGTAAAAAGACTCTGAATGGCCTGCTGCATAATTGAGATTATTATGTGAGGACTTTTTTTGCTTACCTATGGTGGTGGATGTCATGAAAATTATACACAGACCTCTTTTATGTTTATCAGCTTTTCTTAGTGTTTATGTATTTAATGTGTGGCCCCAAGATATGTCTTGTTTCAGTGTGGCCCAGAAAAGCCAAAATTTTGGATACCTCTGTTTTAGATGATGTCAGAAATAATTTGTTACATTAATGTGTTAAGATGTAAATGTGTTATAGTATGGAGAAGGACCATTATTTGCAAATATTTAAGATTTTTTTTGCCTTTGTAAAACCTCAGCCCCCTAGACTCAATTTCCTTATCTATAACATGAAGATAATAAGAATACATAGAGTGCTCCCTAATTTCCCAGTCATCCTATATTGCAAGCTTTAACCTCTTACAGTGCTTTAAAGTACTCTTAAGACATCATGCATTGATTGGTATAAATTTTGGTTACTTGGTAACACTTGGTTTTGTGTTCCCTACTAGATTGTAATCTGTTTAAGATCAGAGGCTAGCTGAGTTTTTATCTTTTGGTGTTTGTAGTTCCTGATCCAGTTTTCATATATTTAATATACTTAAATATCCATTATAATAATTTGAATGGACTTACATAAATTATAATTTCATCTAATCTTTTTCTGACAGCTGTGGGAATTTACTTAGTCATATAGAGCAGCTTGAATGAGAAATAAGTAGAAAAAAGGAAAGAAGAGAACAAAATGAGTATGCTTGACATGTGAGAAGAGCTAAATTAAGAAACACACAAGAAATTAAAATTATGTGAATGGGTTAAAATTTAAACAGAAGGCCAGGCATGGCCAGTGTAGTCTCAGCACTCTGGGAGGCCGAGGTGGAAGGATTGCTTGAGCTCACAGTTTTCAGACCAACCTGAGTAAGAGTGAGACCCCATCTTTAAAAAAATAACTGGATGTTGTGGCTGGTGCCTGTAGTCTCAGCTACTCGAGAGGCTCAGTCAAGAGAAGTGCTTGAGCCTAGGAGTTTGAGGTTGCTGTGAACTATGACGCCATGGCACTCTACCAAGGGCAATAAAGTGAGACTCTTGTCTCAAAAAAAAGTAAATAAAATTTAAGCAGAAAAGTACCAATGACTATTTTCAGACGTCTGAGGGAGAGGGGTGAGTGGCATTACTCTTAGAGATAAGTGAAAAACTGGCTTGATTAGGCATGGTAACAGCGTTAGAGAGGCGCAAAATTAAAAGAGATGAGGCAATGAGAAATCAATAATCAATGTGAGAAAGCCTTCAAGTCATCAGTTTTAAAAAAATCTTTAAAGTTAATTAGTGATATAGTTCTCCAGTACTCTGAATATGGAAGGAATTGTAAGGAAAGCATGGTGGTTAAGCACATTTTCTTTGGACTCAAACAACCTAGCTTTGCCACATAGTAGCTATTTGAACTTGGTCAAATTACTTAAGTTTTAGTTTCCCCTTCTGGAAAATGAGTTTTCTACTATCTACCACGTAGGATTGTTACAAAGATCAGATTAGGAAATGTGTCTGTGTAATAGTACTACATATGAGCACTCAAAAAGCATTAGTTGTTGCTGGTTGTGTCATCATGAAGTTTATTTACAGTGGGGAAGTGGAAAGATGTAATAGGGTGGGAAGGTATGATCAGAGGTACTATGTCAGAGAGCTGGGTGACATGGAAGAGAATGAAGTATGACTGGGAGCAATTAGGTAGAAATATTATTTTTATTGATGTTAGTGTATGTATAGCACTTAATTTAGAAAGTATTTTCTAGGACAGTAAGTCATTTTGTCCATACCTCAACTCACTTAAACCACCCTCTGGACATCAGATTGATTTTGGCATGTTTGTGCAAGAGCTGTCATTTAGTCAGGATGGTTAAGCAGGCAGAGAAAGCAGAATAGTGATTGCTAACCCTGTCACTCTCCCCTACCCCTGCCCAATCTCTCCATCTACTTAATCCCTTTGTTTGGAAGAGGGTTGACCTTAGTCAAAATGATTACTAGAGTATGTAACATATTCACCTTTTCTCTTCCTCCCATTTTTGTCACTTATACAAAACTTTTTGAGCAGCACTTAAATAAATGTAGCAATGCTTTAGGGTTTATGTATAAAGTATATAATGTTTGGGGTTTAGATTAAAAACTTCAGTGAAACCACAAGAAAGTAATTGAGAGCATAATTGAGCATGTAGAACAAATTTGTTAAATCTGTTTTGGGAAAACAACTGGTTCTTAAGTAATAAATCAGCCTCAGGTTTACTATTTCATAATCAGGGTGGGAATAAGATAGGGAAGAATGCATATGTTTGTGAAGACATCTGAGAATACAAGCCCTGACTCTAATATAGCTGATTTCAATGGGAATGGAGGAACCTCTTCCTAGGCCTGTCCAGAAAAATTGAGAAGTTTGTCATTAACTCTACCACAATACAAACGTCACTTCAAAGAATCAATTTGCTTTATCTTGTGTATGTTGTGGTAGATAGCAATATTTTAAATGTCACAAAACAAGTAATTTCAGTATGAGATTAAAGTGTAACATATACTACATGGAGAGATATAGTTTCTAGTAAGTATTGATCCTTAAGACAAAGATGGGCAGATATATGTGTATTTCACATAAAATTCTTATTTGAAAATATTGATTTTTCCCCCTTCTCTCTAAAGCAGAAACTAGAAGTATCAGAGTACCTCTGGATTGAAATGGACATAAAGGTCATCCATCTCAAGTCTTCCTCACCTCCTTTGTGAATCAGTAATGGAGAACTTACCTTCACTGGACATAGCCAATGTCACTTATAGGTCAATCTAGTTGTACTAAAGTTTTTCTTATTTACTACTACAGTCATAAACTCTCTTTCATGTGATAGCCATTCATATAGGAGACAGCTCACTCTGTCTTCCCTGAGTTGTCTCTAATTCCCCACCCCAGGCTAAACATATTCTTTCTACTGTTCCTTTGTTACTTTGTTGCACTTTCCACACTGTATTGTAGTCATGATTTTTTAGCTATATTTTTATACTTCCTCTGAATTGCAAGCCCCTTGAGAGCACTGACCACATCTTACCTTTGTACGTGTCTGCAAAAAACATGATATTAAATCTGAAAGTGTTCTTGGAGCCTCTGATTAGAGATGCAGGGAGAAGGAACTGCAGACGGGATGATTGATTTGAAGGGAGGTCGGGACTCGCTCTGGTCGGCGACCCGGCCTAACTTTACTGATTATCTTATATACTTTCAAACATTCAGTAAGAATTTAACACAGATACAAAGAAGTGAAGTAGCATTAGGAAGCTACCATTTAAGATTACAATTTAGTGTGAAGGCTGAGGAAAACATATACAATTGATTTTGTTCAGAGTAAAAACATAAGGGAGCCTGGCTGTCTGTTTTTGCTGGCCCAAACCAAAACTAGAGATTATAATGTTAATGAAGGAAGAAGACAAAGAACAGGCCCCAATGCTCGAGGACAGGCGTACATGCTCCCAGCTGCGACCCTGGCTGATTCTCCAGGATTTCTAATAAAGAGAATTTTTGCATATTTCTGCATATCTATAGGCAGATGCAGAAGCTCGATCTTTGAAGAAATCTTTCTCAGAATCAATCTCCTGGGGGAGCACATTGAAGCGAACTGCCGTGTCTGAGCATGGGGTGCTTATCTCTACAATTCCCCCTTTTCTAATTATTGGCTTGAACTGCTGCCATAGCCAAAAATATAGCAGCGTTTCGCTCACTTGTTTTTTTTACCTGTAAAAGTGTTTTTTATGATCCAGTAAAACACAAATCCAATTAGGCAAAACAAGAACAGAGAACCGGCAGAAGTTCCAAATAAAGTATAAATTTTATCTTTTGGATTTAGTTGAGCAATTCCTTCAGCTATACCTTTTAAAATTTCATCTTCATTAATTTGTTTTAATTTTTGCTTGTGGACTGCCATGTCTGAGCATGGGGTGCTTATCTCTACATAAATCTCTTAATTATTTAGGCTACTCTTATTTGGATGTTCTCTAGCTTATCCTTCATTAAACAAATATTTCCTGAATGCCTTCTTGGTGTTAGACACTACACAGAATTTAGGGATATAACAGTGAAAGAGACAAACATAGTCTCTGACTTCACTGAACTTAAAATTCAGTGTGAGATACAGACAGGGAAATAGGCAGTACAATACAAGGTGCAAAGGCTATAATAAAGGAAGATCATAGCACATGCTTTCTAATCAAGGTTTTGAGGATGGAAGAAGACTTTTGTTCCTTATTTTCTTGTTAAAATGGGAGAAAAAATTTAGGTGTTGTCTGACTAGCCCTCACGATCACATTTTTGTGTGTGTGTATGTGTGTGTATGTGTGTGTGCATGTGTATATCTACATGTATATCTATATATCTGTTTTCACAGTTTTAGGTGATATTTGCCTTTTTACATTATTATACCATTTTTGACTACTGCCAGCTGTTAAAAGAAAAGCTTTAGACAAATTTAAAGACTATACTTTCAGGAATTATTTCTATAATTGGTTACTAGAAGAGTTTCTCTGAATGTGTAAAGAACTGGAAACCATGAGGCGGAAGCACAGTCTTCTCTCCTGTATGTGAAACCTACTTTTGGTGTTGATTCACTGCAACTACCATTTGCTGTTGTTGGTGATTCTTATCTTTCTTTGGTAGAATAAGAGGAAAAGAATGAAATCTGAGTGGAAAATTTTAAAACTTAGCAGAATTTAATTGAGCAAAGAATGATTCAAAAATTGGGCAGCCCTCAAAACCAGAACAAGTTCAAAAAACTTCACAGCCTGTAATGTGATCAGGCAACATTTATAGACAGAAAATGGAAATGAGGTACAGAGACAGCTTGATTGCTTACAGCTTTGCATTTGACTTATTTGAACCTGATCTGATCAGTTGGCTTCCTATGAGTGACTGAAGCTTGGCTGCTGTGATTGGCTGAGACTCAGTTATTTCTTATAGAAGTATGCTGCAAAGTTAGGTTTTCAGTTAGTTTACCTATGAAGTTAGGTTGTAGTTTGTTATGTAAGGACTCAAGAATAATAGCATCCTCAGGGCTAATTTATTTTAACAATTCCCTCTTTTTGGTCAACCGACTTCTGAGAAATTGGTTAAAACCTTGGGCATCGACATCACTCTGTTACCACTTTAAAAGGACTTATTTGGTCTCTGGATGGAAGTGGATCCGGAGGCCCCCCTAAAAGTACATGAAGATTAGAAAATATTAGAAAAGCCAAGATTGCCACCTACCATTTAAGATGCCTGAAAAGCAACTGTTAGCTGCTTCCATAAACATATCATTTGTTCCTTTTCCTTGAGAAATTTCTTTAATATATTTGGTGGCAGTGTATAAAGAAACAGTGATCAATAGTCAGCAACCATTTACTTAAGTTTTCTATAGTAGCAAGATCAGGGATGAGAAGTACAACATTCAGTTTTGTTCACTATGATGTATAACTCTCCAATGTGAGCAGAAAGGTCTTCAAAAGCTCCATGATATTCCATTAATTATGGGATTTTTTACATTTTTCTTCTTTCTTTTATAAAAGAAAAGAAAGACCCTCCTCCCCTCTCTCCCTAGCTGACTTTCATTGACTTTCTTTTATAAAAGAAAGAAGAAAAATGTAAAAAATAATGTGAAAAGAAAAAAAAAGAAAAGAAAAATGTAAAAAATATATATATGAAAAGATAAATATTATATATATATTTAGAATGTTAACGGGGTACAATGTTTTTGTTCCATGGATTACTTTTATAATGCGTGGGTCATAGTTATAAGTGTGATCATCACCCAAATAGTGTGTATTCATTGTACCTGTTAGATAGGTTTTTGCCCCTCCTCCTTCACCCTCCTTCCTGCTTGATTTCCAACGAGTTTTACTTCCCATTAATTATTTTTGTAGAACACTTATGTTACCATCCACGTTTTAAAACAGTTTCAGAATAGTAGGGGGTACACATGTTTTGTCTGCATACTTTATTTTTGTGCAGATTGAATCAAAGTTACAAGTATGCCCTTCACCCCCTTCACCCAGATAGTGTGTGCTATACTCAATTGGTATCAATTAACTTAGACCCTCTTCCCCTTTCTCCCTAGCTGACTTTCATTGAGATTTACTTCCATATGTGCACATCCACCTTTTATAGAATGACTTCTACCTGTCTTAACCCCTGAGAGGTCTGGTTGACCACAATGTCCAAATTTTTCCCACAATTTACAGAATAATTTCAAATTCCATACTACTGGTATTACACAGCCACCAAGAGTGAGTTCCTAGGAACCCCACTGGAATCCTTCCTTAGTGGAGACTAGATTATCTTTGTAAACCTGGTTGCTCTAATTTTTTACTGGAGCATAAACCTTGGCTAAAGCCATCCACAGATTATGGTCCCATGGATTTTTCTGTAATGAAAGGGAAGGGATTAGGACAGCAGGAAATAGGGGGAAAGGGGGAAAAGATAAGGCTTTCATGATGGAAGAGAAGTCTTGATCCACAGTCTTAGGAAATCTGTCCATGTCTAGGATACTGTCTGATTCTGGGGAGAAACTTCCTTGGTTAACTTCACCCTAAGGTCTCCAATGAGTGTGTAATTCCAAGATTTTATAGGAGCCCTATTGAATCATGAGATATGAATCCAAGACTCAAGGCCCTCAAGTTTTGCTACAGAGTGGAACGTGGTCTTATCCTTTCAAACAGAGTTCAAGAGTAGTTTTGTCTCATATCATTTTCAGAAGACCCAATCTCTAGGTTTTAGACTATGAAGGGTTGGATTGATCTCAGCCAATGAAATACACTTTGGTGTAATGCATTAAAGTCTTGCAGCATTTAGTTGTAATAGAATTTAGGAGGGCAGGAGACATGTGAGGCTATTATTAGGGGAAAATACCTTCCAATGCTAATTCATAAAGGATAAACTTATGTTTTCTATTGGGGGTGAATTTGATTGCTGTTATGGCCAATAGTAAACTCTTTGGCCTTGATGGCAATCTAGTTGATTCAGTTAAGTTAACTTTAAGATATCATTTGTCTGTTCCAGCTTTTCAGAAGACTGAGGAAGATAAGGACTATGATAATGCTATTGTGTTCATGAAAGCTTATTTAATTGCTTTATAATCTGTTAGCAAAATAGTATGTCTATTTCTTAGAGATTTCTCTAGGAATGCCCCATAAAGGAAACACATTTTTGAATAACCTTTTAGCTATTGTTACAGTATTGGCCTTCCTACACAGAAAGCTCCTATCTAACAAGAGAATATAGACCATTATAATAACATATTCATATCCCATTAAAGGTGACAATTGGATGAAATACCTCTTTAAATGTTCAAATAGCCCATCAGGTTGCAGTAGCATGCCACCTAATGTTTTGATTTTCTTCCGACAATTATGGATTTGACAAACCAAATATTGGTTATAGAGCATTTTAGCAATTTTAGAATAGACAACATATAAATATTTTTTCATAATTTGTATTATTTTATCTACTCCATGATAAATTATTGAGTATAAAATTGTTAATAATGGAAGCTTTCAGGACTTAGGAAAGACCAAGCAACTTTCTGGGCCCTCTATTAGTCCATGCTTAACATTGAATTTTCATCAGGTTATTAAGGCTGAAATGTCCAATTTCCTTAGGTACTAAGTTTGACAGTTGATAGCTCTGACATTTCACTTTTTTTTTTTAAGGCAGAGTCTTATTATGTCCCCCTCTGTAGAGTGCTGTGGCATCACAGCTCATAGCAACTTCAAACTCTCGGGCTTAAACAATTCTCTTGCCTCAGCCTCCCAAGTAGCTGGGACTACAGGCACCTGGCAAAATGCCAGGCTATTTTGTTGTTGTTGTTGTTATTGTTTTAGCAGGCCTGGGCCAGGTTCAAACCTGCCAGCCTCAGTGTGTGTGGTCAGTGCCCCAACCACTGAGCTATGGGCACTTAAATGCTCTGACGTTTCACTTGAATAGTTCTTGTTTTATTTTTATCGTGAAGGTACATCCTCATTCTTTCAGCTTCACGTTTTGGCTTGTGATTATCTTTCAGTTTTTTCAGAACAACTTTTTTGTGAAACCATGGCTAACTTAGCTATTCATTTTATTTTCAAATATGAGTCCTGTTGTGGAACCAGTGCAGCTCAGACAGCTCAGTATATCAACGGATGCGGCTAAATAACACACAGTACATTGATGGTTTGAGAAGTTTTGTTCTGATGATTTTAATCCTGAAAATGAGCCATGTGGGCAATCCAAGACCAAGGTGGATAACTATGAGCTGAAAGCTGTATTGGAAGTAAATGCATCTCAATATGTGTGAATTAACAGCATAGTTTGATGTTGGTCCATTTGAAACAAGTCACCAATCTAAAGAAGCTGGATAGCTGTATTCTGCATAAATTAATTGAGCATCAGAAGAGACGTCATCTCAAAGCTTATCTTTCTTTGCTGTTAGAACTTAAAGTAAACTATTTTTACACCATATTGTTATGTCTGATTAAAAATGAATTCTGGTTGGCAATCGCAAGCATTTGGTACAATGGTTGGATGAAGATGAAGAGCTGAAACACAGTCCAAACCTGAATACTCTCATCCAAAGAAGGTAATGGTGTCTGGTGGTCTAGCACTAGTATTATCTGCTACAGTTTCATGAAACTTGTTCAATCAGTTATAGCAGATGTCAACCATGTGTTGCACTAAAAACTCTCTGTCATCCACTGTATTCACCAGACCTTGCACCAACTGACCATCACTTTATCTAGGATTTGGAACACTTCTTGCAAGGAAAAGTATTCAATTTTCAACAAGCTGTGGAAAATACCTTTTGTGATTTTATTGCCACTTGTTTTCTAGGCTTCTTTGCTACTGGCATAAACAAGCTACCATTAAGAAGGCAAAATTGTGTCAATAGTTTAGTTGCATACTTTGATTAATTGGACTGCTTCTTTTAGATATAATAAATAAAACTTTTGATTTGAAATTGAACATTTCATAGTTAATGACCGAAATATCAGTTTTGTTTCTCCAATTCGGGTAAATCACACTGTTTATTATATAGATTATCATAGGAATTTTGAGTTGGATCAATCTTAAGGTGATCATTTAAATTGCATATCTTAATTTCATTACTGCCTGACTTTGCATGAAAATATATCAGATCATTTCTGTGGTATTCAATTGATTCTTGTTCTGTTTAATATTAGGTTAACAGTTTTATAAAACCAAGTAGTTTTTCCATTAGAGTTCTGAAAGTTCTAACCCAGTCCGGTGATATGACCTTAAAGTTATCAGAAACTTGTATGTGTCAGAGTCATTTCCCCTAATCTCCTTGAAAACAAAATACTTTATGTTGCTCAGGAAAGTACCGGAATACTTACCCAGCAGTACCATTACTGTTAGTACTTACTTAACAGTAATTAACCATCTGTGAATGACAAGACTTAAATGGCCATGGTTAAAGAGATATAATGAGAGTTCATTACAATGATGATTGAATTTATAAGGAAGCCCAGCCATTTCTGCTGCATATAATATTTTCAGGTGATAACGAGAATTGTGACTGATAGCATTATACCAGGTCCATATTTCCATGATTTTTTATATAATTTCTGAAACATATTAATAACTCATCCATGCATATATAACTCAAGGAATGTTTAGCATTACTTATTATTTGATAATGGTCTCCATATAACTTAATGTATT